CCTGGGGTTACCTCCTGGGGAGACCAGGGCAGAGCCACCAAGATCTCACTCCAGAGGGTCAGCGCCGCCCAGGCCCGTCTCCACAGAGGCTGCTCCTCTGCCTTTGAAAACTCCCCACGGCCCCTGCTGTGTGCCCGCGTGTGCCCACGTGTGGCTGTGTGTGCCCGCGTGTGCTGGCTGCTGGCCATGTGCCACCTCACTGTGCCCTCATGACAGCCGTGAGGAAGGGACATGAGGAAATCGAGGCTCAGAGAGGTGAACTCGCCTGCCCAGGTCACAGAGCTGGCGTGAGTGGCCCCATTTTCCATTTTTTCAAACAGGAAGAACATTCCATCCCACCCCACCCCCAGGAGCCTCAGTTCCAAGCCCGAGTCAGTCCGGCTGTGTGACCTTGGTGAGCAGCTCCACCTCTCTGAGCCTCAGTGTCCTGCTCTGCCAAGTGGGCTGTTAGGTTTCTCCCAACTCCAAGCCACACACACACACACACACACACACACACACCACACCACACACACAGATACACACACACACAGATACACACACACAGAGATACACACACACAGATACACACACACATACACACACAGAGACACACACACACACACACACACCACACACCACACACACACACACAACACACACACACACACAACACACAGACACATAAACACATACACATACATGCATACATCACACACACAGATATACACACACATACACACAGAGACACACACAGATACACACACAGACACAGATACACACACATATACACACACAGAGAGACACAGATACACACACAGAGACACACACACACACACACACACACACACACACACACACCAGTCTGTCCTGGGCTGCAGGCCTGGCAGAGAGCGAGCCTCAGGGCACCGGCAGCGGGAGGAGGATGTCCCTGACCCCTGCCCAGCCCTGGACGAGCCCCACACGGGCAGAACTTACGCGATCCTGCGGCTCTGTGCGCTGCTGAAGCCCGCGAAGGAGGCGCTCCGGCCCACGACCCCCACGGCCGCCGCGTCCCCAGGGGACAGGAACCGCACCCTCACCGACATGGCTGTCACCTGCAGGGAGAGGGCGGGAGCGTCAGCCATGCACCACCACCCGGCGAGGCTGACCCAGGCTGGCACCCTCCACCGTGGCCTCCCAGGTCCTTCCAGCAGAGAGGGTGCTGTCCCAGCTCACAGATGAGAACACCGAGGCTCAGTGAGGTTAGGGAACCTGCTTGGGAGCGACGGCAGGAGCATGATTCAAACCCAGGTCTCTGTACTCTGCGCCGGTTCTTGGTGCCTGAGCAATGCCGTGTCCTCGTGCAGGGGGACACCACGGCTCCTGGACCCAGCTCTGCTCCCCTCCCCTCTGCTGCTCCTCTCTGCCAGTAACCCTCACCCCTCCCCGAATCCTCACTGAGCGCTGCTGCATGCCAGACACCGTGCCGAGACACGCACTCAGCAGACAGGCCGAGTTCTTGCCCTCCAGGGCTCCCAGTCCAGCAAGAGGCCAACCAGCCACCAGGCAGATACAGTGGGAGTTGATAGTGAAGGGGTGGGGGACCCCAGGGGGGCTTTGGCCCAGCCTTGAAGGAGGCGACCTAGAGCTGAGAAGGAAAGGCTGAGGAGGAGAGAAGGGGAGGGGGAGGGAGGGGAGGGGAGGGGAAGAAAGGGAAGGGCATCTGAGGCAGAGGGAACAGCATGGTAGAGGCCTGGAGGTGCAGATGACATGGTGCAATCCAGAAGTGACAGAAGTTCAGGGGGTCGGGCATGGCTCCAGGTGAGGTGGAGAGGCCAGCAGAGTGCAGCTCACGGAGAACTCAGCCTTATAGTTGGCGAGGGTACCTGGGAGCATGGGAGGGTTTTGGGTTTTGGTTGTTGTTGTTTTTAAATAGTTTTTTTTTATTTCAGAGAGAAAGGGAGAGGGAGAGGGAGAGAGAGGAACATCCATGATGAGAGAATCATTGATCGGCTGCCTCCTGCATGCCCCCTACTGGGGACCAAGCCTGAAACTCGGGCATGTGCCCTGGACCGGAATCCAACCTGGGACCCTTTAGTCCACAGGCTGACGCTCTATCCACTGAGCCAAACCGGCGAGGGCATGGGAGGGTTTTGAGTAGTGGGGGTGACAAAGCCCAGTTCCTGGCATCAAAGGCTTCAGGAAGCCCCCCATCCTCGGACCCAAGCTGCAACGAGGCCAGCCTCGAATGCTGGCTGTCTTCCCTTTTTTCCAAACCATCTCTAGATTGGAAACATCCACACATCCCTTGGGACCGTCGCCTGCTATCTTCCAGCAGGACGATCGGAAAGCTCTCCTCCGTATCTAACCTAAATCTCTGCTGCTACAGTTTCCTACCTTACTCCCCAGCCAGGGTGGGGCCAGCCCCACGATCCCAGGACCCCACTGCCCAGGCCAAACCTGTAAAGAATCTCACCCAACAACAAGGCCTGCTGGTGAGGCCCCTGCATCCCACATTCCCTCCACCCCCAACTGAGTGCAGCCTCCACACCTTCGCTCAGGCTGCGGCTCTGCCTGGGGTCATGTTCTCTTTCCAGCCACATCTGTCCAGCGTCCAGTCCTGCTTTTTGCTTGTCAGCCCCCACCAGGGGCTCCAGAGCCCTCCCTCTAAACCCCCAGCAGATCTGTGCAGCCCCCAAGCCTACCCTCCTCCTATGCACCCCCACTCCACTGCCCCATGGGGGAGCATTGGAAACAGAAAAGCCAGACCTGGGCTCAAACCCCGGCTGTACCTGTGCCACTCACAGGTTCTGGGCCTCAGTGATCACATCTGTAGAATGGAAATTCAGAAAAGGACCAGGGGCCAATGAGCTACCAGCACACAATACAAGAGGCACTCAGCAGGAGCTGGCTGTCTCTGTGCCACTGATCTGACCAAGACCCCGCGCTGCACGTCAGCTGCTGCGTCAGAGAAGCCGGTGAGCGCCTTCCTCCCTCTGGAGGAAGGGCGGCGTGTGCTGAGCACCCACTGTGTGGCAAGCCCGGTGCCAGGGACTGTCACCTGCTCCAAACCCATGAACGACAGCACTGTGTGCAGAGGGGGAGGTTGAGGCAATCTGGGAATGGAGGCATCATTTATTGAATGCTCATTAGTAAGCAGCCTGGCTAAATGCCTTATGCAAAATTATCTTATTAAGTCCACACAACACCCTTAGGCCTAGGAGCCACTGCAAACCTAATTTGACAGAAGAGGAAACTGAGGCTCCGAGAGGACAAGGGTGGCCCAGGGACCCAGTCCGACAGCGGCAGAGCCAGGTGTAGGACCGGAGCGTACAGATGCCAGCGCCAGCACCTGTCCCCGTGCGTGCCAGGAGTCCCGCACTCTAGGAGCTGCCCCCGCCGCAGGGACATCCCCACAGCCCCCACCTGCCCTGTGCGGCTGCCGGTGGACCGGCTCAGAGTCCATTGTCACATTTCCGGGAATTCTGGCAGCTTGAAGTCAGCCACGGTAGGAACACTTACACCACAGAAATCAGCGAGTCTACAAATGAGGGCTTTTCCGCTGCTGATTGTTAAACAATCAGGACCCCCATCCCACCACTCAGCACCTGCTCTGGGTGCACCGCTCCCCATCCCCCGCCCCCTGGGCAAGGGAATGAGGAGGGGCAGGCAGGGGGTGGCCCAGGTCACTGGTGGGGACGTGGGCTGGGCAGCTTCACACCACATCCTCATGGGACCAGGGGACCAGGGCTGAGAGGCGAGGCCCGGAGAGCAGGCAGTGGGAGAATAACGATGAGGGTAAGCAGGGAGCACTTCCCCTGTGTGCTGCACGCCACGGGCAGGCGAACCTTTTCTGCAAAGGGCCAGAGAGTAAATACTTTCGGCTTTGCGGGCTTTGTCACAAGGACTCAGCTCTACCGTTTTAGAGCAAACGCAGCCACAGACGACATGTAAATGATATGTAAAAGCTGTGTTCCAATAATATCTTACTTACAAAAGCAGCAGCGTACAATCGCCGACCCTGGGTAGCCAGCAGTCTGCCTACTGTCTGTTCTAAGGGCTTAATATCTCATTTAATTCTCTCCACACGCTAGGAAGCAAGTGCTGTTATTACCCCCATTTTGCAGATAAAGAAACCGAGGTCAGAGAGGAGGGGAAATGACTCATCCAAGGTCACACAGGTAAGAAACCCCAAAGCTGGGATTTGAACCTGGGCAAGGACGCCATAGCCCGGCCACTTTGTGCTGGGCTGCACTGGCTTCGGGGGCCAGGCTGAGGGGAGGCAAGGGCTCCAGAATGGAAGTAGGTTCCTGAAGGGGACTGAAGGGTGGCCTCATGCCCTACAGGCTTGGGGGGTGGGGGTAGGAGTGTAGGAGCCAGGTCTCTGTGGGCCCCTTGGACTCCTGCCATCTCACCAGCTGGATGGAGGTCTGGAGATGGGATGTCCCAGCTGAGACCCCTGGAGTCTCAGGCACCCTGACCAGCCCCAGTGAAGGCTGGTCACCTTTGACCAGGGGTTTTATTCCTGTTTAATCATTGATAAACAGGTGAGAACACTGACCACCCAGAACAGGGGCAAGACAGGGGCACTGCCCACCAGAACAAAGGCTGGGCACTGGGAGACTCCCTCCACCTGCAGGCCCCCCTCCCCCAGCTGTGGCTGGCATTCACCCGGATCATGGGCAGCCCTGGGCAGCCGGCACTCCTCAGGGCAGGAGAGACAAGCCAGAGGCCTCACTGGCCCCCAGGAGAGGAGAGAGGTAACAGGAGTCATGCAGGTCCCAAACCTTCGGTGACAGAGAGGACTGCCTCTTCCCGTGTCCCTCGCTGCCTCTCTGGCCTGGCAGCCTGGGCAGCCCTGGCTGGCGATGCCACGGGGACACAGCTGGTGGGCGCCGGGAAGACAGGCAGCTGGACGGCTCCTCACAGCCAGCTGCTCCCCAGACACTGGGGACTGTCCTGGGCCTCTTCCCCAAGGTGTGGCTGAGGAGCCGGAGCCCCTCCACTAAATCTGTCCCTTCACTGCTGGCCAAAGCCGCCGCCCGCCCGCCGGACGGAACCTGCAATTTCACCTCATTTGGAGGTGAGGCTTCTAAATTTAATGCTGGGCTCCCAGGGCTGGGCAGCGCTTCTGCCTGAGCCCCTCACTTAGGGCTCTTTCATATCCGCTCAAATGCCAGCCACGGCTTAGTTTGCTTACAGAAGTTTCCAAAATAGCCCCTCTGGTTTAGCACGAAAGGAAATGGCAAAATAGCCTGAGGAATGTGAGTGTAGACACGAGGCCTGGGCGTCCCGAGGCTCTGGGAGCCAGACTGTCTTCGCCAGGGCAGTCCAGTTACAGCCCCCGGGACCTTCGGCCCTGCCTGGGAGGGGTTCATGTCCGGCACCAACTCAGACCTGCAGGTGCCTGAAGGACCCGTCCCACGAGTGACCACACGAGGGCACAGGTCGGCCATCGTCCTGGACCTCACAGCACCTCTGGGCCCATTTCACAGGTGAGAACACTGGGCACAGCCACAAAGGGCCAGATGCAAGGGGAAGGTCGAATAGCTGGTGGCTTGGCCACAGGGGACATTGGGGTGACCGTCAGGAATATGACTTTGAAGAGTAATGAGGCAAGAATGTTCAAAATCAGGCATTGAGTGAAAAAGAGCGAGATTGTGCTCGCTTCGGCAACACATATACTAAAATTGGAAAAAGAGCGAGATGTCAACTATATACAACACAGTCTGTTTTCATTTTGAAACAACGCCTCCCCAGTGTTCTGCAACGGACATGTATCCTCCAAATTAGAAAAAAAATTCTGATTTGAAGAAAACAGAGAGCCGTCTTTGCTCACACAGGAATTAGGCTGAGGCCTGACTCTGTGTGTCCTTTTGTCTAGAGACCACTGCTCTTCATGGTGAGCCTGGGTCAGAGCAGCCTCCTCTTACAAAAACACTGCTTAAGGTTCATACGTATCGTCCTCACTCCCACCTAACTCTACCGGCGTTTTTGGTTGGTTGGTTTTTATTTATTACTAGTAATTTGTTCTTATTGATTTCAGAGAGGAAGGGAGAGGGAGAGAGAGAGAGAGAGAGAGAGAGAGATACATCAATGCTGAGAGTTGTCCACT